TGATGGCGAACTCGAAGGGTCGCTTCAACATCTGGGTGGCCCCGGTGGCTCTGCAGTTCGAGCGGTTCTTTGACTTCGACTTCTATGTCGGGGTCTCCGCCGTCCAGGGTCACTCACGGATGCCCGAGCGGGTCTCTGATGTTGCTCTCGGGGAAAGGCTCACCTTGGAGCGATGCCGCCAGCTTGGAACGATTTTCCACGCCTCGGATAACTCCAACTACGAGAGCATCCGGGAAAACGGCTTAAAGCTGGAGGCGACGAAGGCGGCGTGGCAGCGGCACAGGAAGGCCATCCACCTCGTTTATGCGGGTGGAGTGGTTTCTCCTGGGGCTGGGACCGTCATTAAGTACGGTACCTACGTCTTCTACGCCAAGCTCGATTACGAGTGCTACCTGAGTCACGGCCACAATCTGTTTCTTACAGACAACGGCGTGGTGCTCTCGTACCAGGACATTCCGGCGATGTATCTCACACATCACTACCGTCCTCCTCACGAGCAAGATCCGGGTGGCATTCGCCACGAGAGGAAGCAGCAAAGCGCAGGGGTAGGCTCTTCTCAGGAAGAGGGAACCGGGAACCTCAGCGTCTGCTTCCGCATCTGCTTCCGGAGGCCCTCCACAGGGAGGGGTACCGGGTAGCAGCTCGGATCCAATGCCTTCGAAGCCAGCTCCCAAGAAGCGGCCAAAGACATCTCAGGATGCAGGCCAAGCGTCACCGGGAAGCTTCTCTCAGGAGAAGGTACCCACATTGGACGCGGCAGCTCTCCAGAAGCTTGTTCGTGACAATGAGCTTAAGGCAGAGCGGGAGCGGCAAGCCACAGCCTCCGAAGGAGACACCAAGTATGCGTATCAGTTTGGGGACACCGTCCACGGCAAGATTGATGCGCATAAGTCCCAGCAGCAGGAGGAGCTCAACGAGGTTCTCCGCAAGGCCAGGACGAATCCATGGCATCTCTTCGCGCACGGCAAGTTGCACATGGTGGACTCCTCTGGCCAGCCGATGCTTAGCACCTATGGCGATGCCCTCGTTCAGGTCACCCCCTGGCACACTTTGACTACTTCTATGAGAGAGTCTTTGGGTGGTGAATACGATTGGGCATCGTGGTTGCAGCATCCTCTTTCGGGGTACTCCCTGCACTTCTTCCTCAAGGCCTTCGAGATGGGGAAGTTGCAGGGGAACTACCTCGTGGAGCTGGACAAGAAACCGAAGGTTTACTCCAACGGTTACACGTCACCTTGGATGAACTTTAAGCGTCATCCTGGCGGTCTTGCCCAGATGCTGGACGATGTCTCCGTTGCCGCGTCGAACGAATTCAGGCCCAACTTGGGTAACATTGGATTCGATCGCCCTCGGGACAATGACTCTCGTGCAAAGATGCCAAGGACAGAGGATCCCGACTACTCTCGTAAGCTCGCCGCACACAAGGCTTTCCTCAGGGAAAGGTATGTGTATGAAGAGGTTGGCTATGTGCGAGAGGATTTCCAGATGCTCGTCCGCGTCATCAATGAGGCTTATGGAGTGGACTTCTTCTCCTACATCCAGCGCCACGCCGGTGATCTGGAGGTTCGCCGTAAATACACGGTGCGAACCCCTGAGGGCTATTGTCTCTATGACAGTACCCTGAAGCAGCCGTTCAACGGCAGCTACCTCCTGGCGGTTCTGGAGAAAGTCTTCGCTGAGTCTGACCAGCGCGATTTCAAGTCGGCTTTCGCCCGCAAGGCAAAAGCTGACTTAGTGGCGTACGAAGACTTGAAGGCGAAGAAGGAGTCTGAGCTGAATGAGCTCCTCACCCGACCATATGACGACATTATGATCGAGGAGTTCATCGAGCGACTCCCATGTCCACAGATCGAGGAGATCGAGGAGCCTCCCGCGGCTACTCAGATGGATACCTCCGAACCGTCGTCTGGATCCACGGACTTGCCACAGGGCAAGAAGGTTGATCCGGTTAAGACCGAGCCGACCGATGTGCCAATGGAGACTGAAGCTCCAGAAAGCTCTCCACAGGGAGAGGCATCTGGGGCTACTGTCGAGCCAATGGATACGGACGCTCCGGAAAGCTCTCCACATGGGGAGGCATCTGGGGTGGATGTTCCACAACAGAAGACCGAAGCCACGGAAAGCTCTCCACAGGGAGAGGCATCCGAGGTGAAGGTCGAACCTGATGCGCACATGGGTCAGGAAGGAGGTAAGTCCGAGAACGTCGAAATGGCTGAGGAAGGCTCACCACAGGGTGAGGAATCCATGCCAGACATTTCTCCCGAGAAGGATGATGAAAGTGAACTTCACGATCAAGGCATCTGGGGGAAATGCAAGACTGTTCCGGATCCTGAGTACTACCAGGCCGCGAAGGTCGAAGCCGGTCGCCAGCCAGCTCTTAGCGACCAGAAAGGCGTGCTCGGACACCACGACCGGT